ATGGCAATAAGCCCAAGTCCTAGTGAAAAACAACAAGTCATAGCGAAATACACGGTAAAATCAACAACCAGGACAGACCAAGTCACAATCCCCAACGGTGCTCTACCCCACGCTCTCTATCTGGCGTGCAAGTCACCTCAATATAGCACTATGGGTGCAAATCCGGGGTTTCAAACCCTCAGGATATCATTTACAATCATTACTCACCTCGAACTGGCGAAATCTCTAGCCCGCGACGCCTTTTCCCCTCGAATCGGCCTCCACGCGCGTCGAATCTAACCAAAATCAGAGCGAATACATTACAATATGCCCAGGGAACAATACCCAATCGAAAACAACCAAGAAATAACAGAAATCTCGAAACTAGCAAAATCCGAGCCCTGGGCCCGCTTCTCGAAAAATTACAAAACTCACATTACTGGATTCCTCGTCTCGCCACGAGTCCATACATACCAAGAACTCCCAAATCCGAGCTCAAATGACCTATCAAATCCCAATTTGGAATATCAAAAACTCAAGCCCTAGCTTTACCCCTTTTTGATGAATTTCAACCAATTTCCATGTTAAATCTATCATAATCTCGTGTATTTAAGTTCAAAAATCTTACCTCCAATCGATTCTCCTTGAATCCCTCTTCAATTCTTCAAAAAGCTCTCAAAAAGATCAACAATGGAGTAAATGAGCCCCAAAATCGCGGATGAAATGTTTTAAGACATTCTGCCCAGGTCACTGTACATTCTTCTTCGCGTTCGCGTACAGTACCTCACGTTCGCGAAGGCCAATTACCAGGCCCCTTCGCATCCGCGTAGTTTGCCTCGCGTTAGCGTAGGCCAAATGCCCCCAGGCCCAACTTTCCTTCTACGCGTTCGCGATTACTCTCCCGCGTTCGCATAGCACCTTGACCCACTCCTTCGCGTTCGCGACTCCCCCTTCGCGTTCGCGAAGGCCAAAATCACAGCCTCCCATTTTTCCTCTTCGCGTTCGCGAAGAAGGAAACCAGATACCAGCAACCAGCAGTTCAACAATTTCCAAAAATGACCCGTTGGGCATCCGAAATACACCTGAGGCCCCCGGGACCTCAACCAAAAGCGCCAACACATCCTAAAACATCACTCAAACTTGCTCCAATCATCAAAACACCACAAACAACACCAAAACCATCAAATTACATCGGATTCAAGCCTAAGTTCTTCTAAAACTTCCGAAACACGCATTCGATCAAAAACCCAACCAAACGACGTCCCAATGACCTGAAATTTTGCACACACATCACAAATCACATAACGAAGCTACAGCAACTCTCGGAATTCCATTCCAACCCTCGGATCAAAATCTCACCCATCAACCGGAATTCGCCAAAATACTAACTTCACCAATTCAAGCCTAATTCTACACCGGACCTCCAAAATCAATTCCGATCGCACTCCTAAGTCACAAATCATCCCCCGAAGCTAACCGAATCACCAGAAATCACATCCGAGCCCTCTAACTCATAAGTCAATGTCCGGTTGATTTTTCCAACTTAACCCTTCTTAAAAGAGACTAAGTGTCTTATTTCTTATCAAAATCAATCCGGATCAACTCTAACTCACCACATACCGGTAATGAAACATGAAGAAGCATAGAATGGGGAAAACGGAGCAGTAACACATGAGATGACGGGTCGGGTCATCACAACAAGTGCTCGAATCTCCAGTATATTATGCTGGAACGTTCCGTGTGTTGGACTTCCAGCATAATATGCTGGAAGTTCATACACAGGTGCACCGAACTCCAGTATATTATGCTGGACCGGTCTCTGTTGCAGCAAAATAGTGGCTATTTTTCATTGACTTGGTAAACGCTGGCTATTTTTGAATGACCAGTCTGAAAACTGGCTAGAGTGTGCTATTTTTACAAAATTTATGTAGCGTCCAGTTTTCCTTCACCGTTGAATTTTTGTCCACTTTTTAAAAAAAGTTGGAATTGATACTCAAGTTTTTAGATAACTTCAGATGCATACACTTTTCTCTTCTTCTTTACTGTTGTTATCTTCTTCTTTATGCTCAGAGTTACTTTTCTTCTTCTTAGTTGCAAAATGAGTTTGTTAAATTTGTTATCGTTTCGACAATTGATGATTAGAATTTGCTCTTTATGATATTTGAAAGTTACGTTTCAAATTTGAGCTCATTTGGAGTAGATTTGGGCATTGAATCGTGTATTGGATTGTTGAAAATCGAAGAACAAGTTTATATTTCAAAACTTAAGATACGAAATTTGAAGTTGCATTCAGTAGATTGAATTACTTAAGATTCGAATTTCTGAAGTTGCATTTGAAAGATAGAAGAACTTCAGATTTGATTTCTGAATTTGCATTGAAGAGATTAAACTACTTCAAATTCGAATTTCTGAAGTTGCATTTGAAAGATAGAATAACTTCTAATTTGATATTTGAAATTGCATTAAAGAGATTGAACTACGTCAGATCCGAGCGGATACACTTTACAAAATTTTGTGCAATGCGGGGATAACTTCAATGGACATCCCAAAAGTGAGTATATACGAAAATGCCCCTAGTCGAACTCTTCTATGTATAACTGAATTATACATCTATTAACTAAATATATAATTGGGTGGGTGACTATTTAAGTTAATTCTTTTAAATATTTTAGATGCTCATTACATTCAAGCAAAGCTTAAAAGAATATGCTTTTTAAAATAAAAAAAAAATCTAAACTTTCATAAAGTTTTAATTGACTCAAACTTCAAATAATATTTATTCATTTTTTCACATATTGCATATATGGAATTCCTGTTAATTGATGATCATTCTCTATACACAGCTTTACGAACGAAAACTCTTAATAATATAACCAAACTTTATCGTAAACTCATAAATGTTGCTAATATTTAGTTTGTATTTTCGTCTCGCTTTATTGAATTAAATACAAATTAGAACATAAAATTATTTTGGCCTAATACATACTTTGCCCCTTTAACTTGTATGTAAATCCGTTTGACACACTGCAAATTTACGTGTAATATTCTTACAAATCCCAGAGCGGAAGGATAGAGGAATCCAGAAATGATGGGATATTTCAGAGGCTCCTAGTGTTTTAATAAGAGAGCGAGAGCAGAACACATGGCTTTCAAGCAGGCGTGTTGATGAAACAGGCTCCTCAAGCTGGTCAAAGTAGCGTTAACTCCATCAATTTTAAAGCAAAACCCAATTGAACTTCAACTGATTTGACATATAAGTTTATATTACATAATATAATATATACTATATTTATTAGTAGTATACATCGGATAAACTATTGATATTATACATCAAAGGTATGTTGTATTGTATACTTATAACAATATCATATATGTTTATATATAATATATTGCAGTATATATCAGATTTTTTCTCTCAACATACACATGAGATAAACTAAAGAGATATTATACAATGAAGGTATGACGTAGTGTATACTTATACCAATATCATATAAGTTTATATTGGAGTATATAATATATTATATACTATATTTATTAATAGTATACATCATTTTATTCCCTCGAAGATAAACTAAAGTGATATTATACAATGAATTAAGGTATACTTATATATCGTTTCATATGAGTTTATACTATGTAATCCACTATATTTATTATTAACACACACAAAATGGGTTTTGACAATGGGGAAAGAGGCTTGGGATTATCCTTTTAATGGATAAATTTAGAAAAACTAATACAGATAGATACGTTTTAGTTGAGAGCATCTCAAGTGAGAGATATAAGGATATATTTTAGGTTAGAGAATCTCAAGATAAATATATTAGGAATATGAAAAGTTAAAAGTAGTTATAACTTATTTAATTAAGTTTTGAATAAGTTGTATTCCGTGTAAATTCTTCATTTAGATATACCTATAGCATAAATTTTACATATAATACCGTTTGTTTAAAATAATATTCATAGTTCTCAGGTAATACTATATCTCCCGTTAAAAATAAGTGTTTTTGACACATTCATTAAGAAAATCACTTAACATCATTAGTATAGGGGTTATCTAACTAAGTTATTATTTATATCTTTTCAGTTACTCTTTAGATGTTCTCATATTTTATCTTAAAGCGAAGTCAGAAATTTTTTCAAGGGTGTTCAAAACTTAAAAGAAGTTAAAATTTTCCGACAAAGGATATTCGCGGTGTATAGTATATAACTCTGAAACATAATATTTTACCTATATATACATTTTTATTTTTCAGCAAATGGTGGTTAATTGACCACCCTTTAACGCAAGTAGCTTCGTCTCTGATTTAAATGATTTTGTCATTTTTTTCAATATGAGGGTATATAAGCTATTTAAATATGAACAAGGAAAATAACATTATAGGCAAGATGGATACATTTTTTTCCCTTCTTTATGTTAAAGTTGGATGCTTATATTATTTTTCTGATTTTTGTTGATATCAGAAATTCTATTGTCTATTTTCTTTTTTTTTTAGCTGAGGGTCTCTCGAAAATAGCCTCTCTACCCCTCCAGGGTAAGGGTAAGGTCTGTGTAAATTTTACCTTCCCCAGACTCCACTTATAAAATTTTACTGGGTTGTTGTTCTTGTTGTTATTTTATGTCAAGTTGGTCTTTGCTTTACTCTAACTAATATTGTTTACCCAATAAGAATTTATACCATTATTTTTATAAGATATTAAAGATGGATATACTAAAATTCGATCAATCTCAATTTATAACGATTGAAAAGAAAGATCAATTTTAAATTAGAAAAATGAGACTTTTTGTTTAGTCGAAAAATGACTCTACTATTATTTTTATAAGATTTTAAAAATAAAAATACTAAAGTTAAGTCAATTTTAATCTACAATATCGTACATAAAGAACATCAAATTATAATTTATAAAATGAGATTTTCTGTTGGCTATGATATTTAGAACTACTAATTTATAGATACACTTGGATTTTAATGATGGGAAGAAGTTCATGTTTAAAAAGTAAACATTTTTTTTGGTGGCAACTACAGCTAACATTGATAAGCAAATCAGACAAAGTAGTCAAAAGTTGTATCCTTCAACACATATATAGCTTGAGAGATATGTAGAAGATGACAAGACAATGCCCTCGCGACCATCAGAAGACGACAAATGTGATTACAGAGATTTGTAGGCAGGCAATACATCATTCCTCTCTTGAAGCAGGATCTAACCCAGCAGACGGGCTATCAGCAAAGTATTCTTGATGTTTGACATTCACACCATACTCTCGTAGAGATTTTGAAAGACCATCCATCGTCAAGATAAGGCGTTTGTCCTTTTGCTGCTTATCTCTTTTATCCTTGACAATAGCTGACTGCCTTGCCTTGCAATGCTGGAGAGCATCAGTGGCAACATCTGCAATAAATTTCTGTGTAGCAACTGCCACCAACCTTATTAAGCGAACGTCACGGCATTGGAAACCACTTTTACCCAAGTAATGCTCCACTAATTCATCTGGAATAGTGGGAGTATAGTCCATTAAGGAAGCAAGGAAATCGGCGAGGGCAGTGTCATCTTCGTGTCTTCCTTTACTCGTTTGCTGACCCCCCGACTCTGACTCCGGTTCATTTCAACGGCGGATCCGGCGCCGTTCGGAGTTTCCACTTCGCCAGAGGTAAAATAGGGGTGCGAAACCACAGAGGTAAGGAGGTTTTCCAACGCTCGCTCTGTAAAAAAAAAAAAAAAAACTTTTTGAGAGCACATTATCTGAATGCACGTCTGGATATTAAGATTGTGGTATTCAGATATCCAGTGCACGACATCACCCTTCGTGCTTTTACTCTCAATCCTCACCAATGCAATCAAGTAATGAAAATGTGCACGGCATCACCCTTCGTGCTTTATCTCTCTTCCTCACCATGTAAATATTAGAAATGTGCACGGCATCACCTTCGTGCTTTATCTCTCTTCATCACTATATGCATCAATATCAATAAAATGTACACGGCATCAGCCTTCGTGCTTTATCACTCTTTCCTCACGATATGCATGAATATGAATGTGCACGACATCACCCTTCGTACTTTATCTCTCTTTCCTCACCCAAACAATAGCAACAACAACATCCCGGCAAAGGAATTAACAACAAGAATAAACACATCCCAGCAAGGGAATCAACAGTAGGAAATAAGTACGTCCCGGCAAGGGAATCAGCTGTAACCAAACTTGTACCAACACTTAACTTCACAATCAAAACCTCAACGGGAGCCAATGCTCAACAATAAACAAATACTACAAGATAATCATAAGTCTTGCTCAACACGGAAAATCAACAATTTAGGCAATTGTAGTACTTAATAGGAAACACAACGATTACTATTTAAGACTCACGGGCATGCTTGACACCGATGTATAGATACTCGTCACCACACCTATACGCCGTACACTACACTAGCACATAGCGAATAAAGCACAATACCTATTCCCTCAAGCTAAGGTTAGACCAAACACTTACCTCGAACTTCCACGGCCAACTCAAGCCTCAAACATCGCTTTTCCTTTAGAATTCGCTCCCAATTACTTGTATCTAGCCCAAATTAATTAAACAACATCAATAAATGCTAAAGAATTCATACCCAATGCTTAATTATAGGTTTTCTATCATTTTTCCCAAAAAGTTAAAAATCCACCCCGGGCCCGCTTGGTCAAAACTCCTGGTTCGGAGCAAAACCTGATCACCCATGAACCCACGAGCCCGAATATGTAATTAGTTTCGAATTCCGACCCCAAAACGAGGTCTAAATTCTAATTATTCAAAAAGCCCTAACTCTACCCAAATTCCCAATTTCTACCATAAAAACTCTAAATTTTTGGACGAAGATTGATGAAATGCAATGGGAAATCGAAAGAAAAAGGTTTAGAATCATATACCAATACTTTGGGGAAGAACTTGTTCCTTGAAAATCGCCTCAATGCTCTCTAGTTTTGAAAATATGAAAATATGAGCTAAATCCCGACTTTGCTACTGTTTTAAGTGTTGGGCGACAGTGTTCATCGCGTTCGCGAGAACACTCTCGCGATCCCGAAGAGCTGCCAGAAGTGGACTTACGCGATCGCGAGTTCTCCTACGCGTTCGCGAAGGGTTGGCACCCCTGACCTTCGCGTTCGCGGACCTGTGTACGCGTTCGCGTAGAAGAACGACAACATCCCAGCCCCACCTCCAATTTACTATACGCGTTCGCGGGAAATGGGTCGCGTTCGCGTAGAGCAGCCCCCAGTGCTCCGCGTTCGCGTCCCTCTCTTCGCGTTCGCGTAGAACAAATTCACCCTAGCCCCAATTTCCCTTTCGCGATCGCGAGAATGGCTTCGCGACCGCGAAGCACAAAATGTGTGTGCATCAGAAGCAGCAAAACCTGCAACTTTTCTAAGTGTAAAAACATCCCGAAACCTATCCGAAACTCACCCGAGCCCTCGGGGCTTCAAACCAAACATGCATACTAACTCAAAAGCATCATATGGACTTACTCATGCAATCAAATCGTCAAATTAACATCTTTAACAACGAATTTAGCATCAAAATCAAAGAAAAATCTCAAGAACTCTTAAGTTTAGTTTTTAACAACCGAGGGGTCCGATTCACGTCATATCAAGTCCGTTTCTTACCAAATTTTACAGGCTCAGCCTAAATGCAATATAAGACCTGTACCGGGCTCCGGAACCAAAATACGGGCCTGATACCATTAATTTCAAATACATTTAAATTTCCAAAAACTCTTAAAATTTCAGTTAAACAATTTTCTTCAAAAATTCATTTCTCGGGCTTGGGACCTCAGAATTCAATTTCGGGCATACGCCCAAGTCCCATATTTTTCTACGGACCCTCCAGGACCGTCAAATCGCGTGTTCGGGTCCGTTTACCCAAAATGTTGACCGAAGTCAACTGATATTCAATTTTAAAAGGCAAAATTAATATTTTTATCAAATTTTCACATAAAAGCGTTCCGAATATACGCCCGGACCGTGCACGCGAATCGAGGTGAGATAAAAGGATGTTTTTAAGGTCTCAGAACACAGAATTTACTTGTAAATCAAGTGATGACCTTTTGGGTCATCACACGTGTTTAGATACATATCTGGTGACTCCTTTAAAACAAACATGGTAAAGATTACATGTGGTTGATAAAATACTACTGTTCTGCTTGCTTCCTCTGTTTTATCATATGGACACCAAGATTATATACTTCATGTTACCATATGGACACCAGAATTACAGGTAACAAACACTTGACTAGAACCGTGACTTAGCCACAGGCTTAACCATTTGATTAATTGCCTGGCTTATTTTCTAGTGACTGTCCAGAAGCTGGTGCAAATTGTCTCTGTATTAAATTGTTCAAAAGCCTGGTACTAATTCATGGTGCACTTTTATAATTACGAAGTTGCACAACACTTTCAAAGCAATTTAACACAACTCCTCTTATAATACTGATATGTATTTTCACTTTAATTTGTTAACTCTTAAGGTTAATTGTTTAGTATTTACCAATTCGTACTGTCCACATATATTGGCAAAACACAATTACAATTACCATTGCTACAGCTTCGACTTAGCTCAGGTACCGAAATACTACAGTACAAGTTAAAGCTTCAATCCTGGTGCACGAATTGGCAGCACCTCAAGAGGAGCAACGTCAACATAATGTGGAACTCTCAACATAATTGTTGAACTCTGCATAAGCAATCAAATAGCAGAAAAGATACATAATTACGTATAATTTATTCAATCCCAATAAAATTCATAATCCATAGAGTGGACAAACTTCAAACAAACACCAGCAATCCTTCTTCCTCAATACATCAAAATTTCAAGCAGTTAAGCCAGTTCGAATCACTACGTATTACAAAATGATAACAAAATTTTCAATTAGACAAAAAAAAAAAAAACCGAAACTTTGAGGTTCTCAAGCGACAACAATAGGCTGTTGTTTCGAAGGCTCAACGTGTTGCTTGGCATCTCCGAGGAAATCTTCCATATTATAGATAACGGTGATATAAAGGGAACAACTAGGGCAACGAGCGATCTCTTCGCCTAGCTTCAGATCTTCCTTTGTGATTTGGAACAGGTCACCGCACGGACAAGGATATGTGAAAGCTTGGAGCTCGTTGTTCCACTCCATGTCCTCAATCTCCACGTCGTCGTACGACATCCCTCGTTGGTTTTGTTCGTTTTTCACAGAGATTAGGGTTTTCCTGTTCGGAATTTTGTAAAGGTTATAAGGTCCGTCGAAGTTGATTGGGTTTTTTAAAGATCGGGAAAATTGCATCTGACGTCCTTTTAATAACTTAGAAGAAATGTAATATGGCCCTGAGCTTTAGTAAATTACAACTTCAGTTCAGCATGTTCAGGGACTTAAGGCGACGGGAAATACCAAACCATCATATTCCTACCACACGTGAAAACAAAAATTTATTTCTATCTACTCCCTTCATTTGGCTAACATATATATATATTTCAAGATAAAAACATACAATTCAAAAAAAAGTGACTAAATATTACATCAATTAGTGAAAAGAAAATATTCTTTGTTTTTTTAAAAAACTTTTTTTACGCGGATTTTATATTTTTTTCTACAAAGTTCAGAATTATTAAGTCAAAAGATTATTACACTTTTTGGGGCCTCAAAATTTTTGGGGCCTAAAGCGAACCCTTGAGCCACCCATGAAGATAAGTTGTATATGTCTAAGCAAATATCCTGTTTGAAGATTGCAAAGATGTAGTAAATGGTATGATCTTAAACACAAAAAATTGAGGAAGTAAAGAAGTTATTCTTGAATAAACAAAAGAAAGCATGGTTCAATTATAAAACATGTAACATATGACTGAATAATTCAAGAGCAATAGCACATAAATATTCAAAAAGCACTGAAATATAAATCTTACTTATGTATACATTATCCAAATTCTAGCCAAATATGAAACTATAGCGGCTCTAAATTCAACAACACATAACAAAGTTTCTTAATTTTGGACGAGCTTCATAAACACCAATTACGGTTTATATTTCAAGTAGAGAAATTGAATTTCAGTCACTAATATGCAATTCTTGAAGAAAACAAAAGCTATGTGAATCTACAAAAGAGAAAAAAACATTGCTAACAATTTAGAACACGTCCCAATTAAGATTTACGATTTAGAGAATCGGGATGTCCACAAAATCAAGAGAAAATTCAGAAATTTAATCAAAATAGAATATCCAAAAGTGAGAACAAGACACAAATAAGAGGCATAGTTTAGCCCCTTCTCAATCGTATTTTAAAAGGGGTTTTTTTAAACCCTAAACTCGAAACTCAAATTTACCATTAGAAAAGTGGAAACAAGATGGAGAATTCCAAGTATAATTTTCAAATTCTTACCCAGAAAAAGATTCGGCGGCTGCGAGAGACGTGTGAAGGATGAAATTTGTTTTTTTAGGGTTTAGAAGAAATAGCCTGATGTCAAGAGAGAAAATAAAGAGGCGTGTATTTTTAACCTCTGGACGGGATGAAGACGAATCAGACCTATTTAGACTTTTTAAAAATAAAAAAACAAATATACAACTATATTAGCCTTATAACTTTAAATTTAGTTTTAAAGATTTAAAAAAAATTAATGGTTAATTCAGGTACCTATATAGCGTATGTTTTGAAGCGTCTTAACATCTGCACTTTTTAAAATTAGTATGTCTTGTCTTAAATCACATCCTTTTGAAAATTTCTCAAGAAAAGATAATTTAAACCTCCAAATGTCTGTTACAAAAATTGTTATTACACTGTATTTGTAAAATAAATTCTGGAAATATAAATGAATATAAACAGTAATGAATATAAACAGAAATGACATAAACCAATTCGAGCCCACTGAATTCACAGTGTTTCCTTAAGGAATTTAATCCCCTCCTAGTACCCAAGGTTATGGATTATTTCCTCCCAGGATAGAACGAATTACACACTGGTGTAGTGGTACTTCAAACCCCAGTGTTTCAGCGAACACAAAGTTCGGTAGCAAATCACACTTACTTTTTGCTTTGTTTTGATGCTAAAAGTATGCAGAAGAAGGAGAGGAAACTCAGAAATTGTAGTTTTTTTTCTGAGCAGAATAGTGTTGTATTTATAGCCAAAGTTGGGTCTCTTCAGAATGGCTGTTTATGCAAAACGCCCACAACATAAATGCCATTACATAAATGGCCATTTACTCAATAATAAAGAGGGAAAATTGAAGCCGAAGCCGAAGCCGAAGCCGAGCCGAGCGAGCGACGACGACGACGGCGCGAGGCTTGCCTTCTTCTCAACTCTTTAAGAGCTAGAAGAAGAGCAATTGCTTATATACCCATAAAAAACCTCTTCCTCTTCCAATATGGGACAATGCCCATTTGCCAAGGGAGGGGGAACTTAAAATTTCACTCAAAAATTTCATTTCCCTCCATTTCCCATTCACCCTCTTTTAAGTATTTAATATATTAATTAAATACCTTAAAAACCCAACAAAAATATTATACAATTGTTGTATCCCGTTTGTTCAATTAGGACAGAAAATATATATTTCTTATTTTTGTCTTGTTTTGGTATTTTTATGTAATTTAGTTGAAATCTACAATTATAATTAAAGTTAACAAACTTCATTTTCTGGTAAATTTGGTTTTCGAATAGAACTCTTAATCCAACAATATTACTCGTTATGCGTTTGAAATAACACAATATAAATCCACTTTTTCATTGTCTTTGCTACGTAATTAGTACCATATTTCTCCTAATTTCTTTTACATAATACCTATGTACCCCAATTTACGTATCTCCATTTAGTTTAGACATGATTATTTAGGTAATTAAATGGATAATCAACTTTAACAAATGGAAAAAGTGTTGATAAGCTTAGAGAAAAAGTTTTCACTTTAAAGAAAGAATAGCTTTGTAACAATATAAAATATAGGATAATTAATTTATGCAAAAGGAGTTTAAGTTTAATTTTTTTCATGTTATTATATAGGAGCACTAATATTTTACTACTTTATATACCAAAATATATGGGTAAAGTGACACGCTGTATTAGAAGTTAAAAGCAAAAAATGGTTAATTATTTACTTTTGTGGATACATCTATGATCTAAATATCTAATACAAAATCCCTGGTATGTGATGTCATGTCGAAGTAAACTGGGGCCCACGGATATAAAGAGCATTGAACTATGGTGTCTCAAAGGGTTAAATTGTCTGCACAACAAAATAAAATCAAAGCAGCTACTATAAGAGAAAATATTTGGACAATGGGAATAATGTGCTTAGGTAAAATTATGAAATTGCCCTCTTCAGCAAGCAGGCATGTTGATGATACAGCCACCTCACTGTTGCTTCTAATATAAGCGATAATAATAATATAAGAGAAAATATTGTTTGTTTCCATTTTCCTTTTTTTCTGTTTGTGTAGCTTGTTTGGATGGTTGTTACGTGTTGTATTGTATCGTAATGTTACTTTATATATAATGTTTGTTTTAATTATTATTTAAATTTTATTGTATCGTATCGTTAAATATATCGTTACGTAATGACGAAAAGTACCACTTTATGGGACGACCGATTTGGTATGGTCGTGTCGTTACCTTATTTTTTTTCTCTAACTTGCCTTTCCTTATTGTTAAATAATCTTATTGTATGCTTTATCTTACCTTTTTTATATAATAAAAATTATAACTCGTACCCTTCTTTTCCTTTATAATATTGTGTATTTTCATATTTTTGGTACATGACATCATGAAACAACGGCAAACAATACAATCTATCTAATTATTGTATACATCAAAATACTTAATACAATACTAAAAAGCAAATTTGATTCTTCTATTCTTTTCCTCGATTTTTATGTCTTTTTTTCTTCTGTCTTCCCATCTAAATATAGTTGAAAGTAAAATATTAAATTTGTTTTTTAGGACATAGAAGAATTCGATGCTTCCTATGATTGCAAATAAAGTCAGTCTATCCCGTCTGTTTAGAAAACAAGGTGAAAGATTTTTTACCAAAAAGTTTTGGGAGAAGGGCCAAATTTATCCCTATATTGATAATAGTTCATATATATCATCCGTTATACTTTCCATCCAATTTTAACCCTATCATTAAGATAATAACAAATTTGTCCCCAGCCTTAATGGATGTACATCAGAGCATTGAGACCCCTCAATTAAAAATGCCACGTAATTAACCTCACTACCCTCAATACTTGTCTTCCCCTTCGTTCTTCTTCCACTAGTAGCTCCACCACCCAAAAGCCTCAATTTTCACCACAAAAAAGAGCTTCAAAATTAGAATTTAATCAATAATTTTCAGCCCTAACAGTATAACCAACCAACTTAGAGATGAACTCAACACCTGTTGAAGAACATGACAGACCCATCGAGTCTCCTTTCAAATACATCTTCCGAATCGATAAGTAAATCTAAAGATGTATCGTGATTTAAATCAGAATTATTGGTGGTGAAGAATAAAGAAGGAAATTGTGAGGCACATTTCACGGTGTTTGAATTGTTAACAGATCAAGTATTAGCATTTTAGAAATTGGGTGGCTAGCTTCAAAAGATTGATATACCAGAGTGAAAGTTAGAGTGCATTACTATGGACTTTGTGGTAGGGTTCCCGCCAACTTTGAGAAAGTTTGACGCTATTTGGGTCACTGCTGATCGGTTGACCAAGTCGGCGCATTTCGTTCCGGTTATGACTTCTTAGACTTCAGAGAAGTTGGATCAGATATACATCAGAGAGATTGTTTACTTTCATGGTATACCTTCCTAAGTCATTTCAGAAATTACATTGCACTTTTGGAGGTTCCGTTTAGAGTGAGTTGGGAACATGGGTAGAGCTCAATACTATATTTCACCCGTAGACGGATGGACAGCTCGAGCGGACCATTCAGAGCCTTGAGGATATGTTGAGGGCATGCATTATTGATTTTGAAGGCCAGTGCGATCAGTTTCTACCGTTAGCGGGAGTTTTCTTATAACAATAGCTACCAGTCTAGTATCCATATGGATCTGTATGAGGTCTTATATGGTGGGCTGTGTCGTTCTCCGACTGGTTGGTTTGAGCCCGGTGAGGTTAGGTAGTTGGGAAAATACTTGGTTAATAATGCTTTGGAGAAGGTAAAATTGATTTAGGAGATGCTTCGTACAGCTCAGTCCAGACATAACAGTTATGCAGACAGGAAGGTTCTTGATATGCCATATAGGGGAAGGTGAGAAGGTTCTTTTTAGAGTTTTACCTATGAAGCCGCGATGAGGTTTGAAAAGAGAGGAAAGTTAAGCATGAGGTTTATTGTTCCATTTGAGGTGTTGGAGAGAGTTGGCGAGGTTGCTTATAAGCTTGTTTTGCCTCCTAGTCTTTCGGGAGGTCATTTAGTATTGTGTGTTCTATGCTGTTACATCCCGTACTTTGGTATTAGGATGAGTCGTAGAATCCATATGTGCTTGAAGGTATTAAGACCATTCATGAGATTATATAGGATTTGCGACTATGTTATTATAAGACCCCGTAAGTTTAACAACCTTGATACCATATTGTTATATACATTTGATATGGTATTATGAGTGAAATATTTCTGTAAAAAAAAATTGAAAAATATGATTTTATATAGTTATTAAATTACTACTTTTCGGATATGCTTTAAATTATACACATAATATGAGAAAGTTTATGAGATTTTCTTTATTATAAAGATAGAAATTATTTTCTCACAAGAAAAGAAGGTTATCTTTACCATTTTAAGAATTAAGCGTACGAAAATTTGTACTCTTGTTATGAGATTAGGAAAATTAGAAGTTGAAAAAATATGTATATTCTTACATGGATGTTATAATGAAATAATAATGTATGTATTAATTTTTATATGGTACCACATGACCATGGTAGGAAGATGTATAAAGTGTGTTAAAAGTGACTAGTATTTTAAGTAATCTGAGATAATTCTTAATTGTGTGGGTAATTAATTAATTATTATTAATGGGAGATTACTAGTTAATTAAGAGTTGGTGGGTGATTAATAAAGGCTTTCGGATTAAGCCCATCGTGGCAGCAAGATTTAGCTCCAATTTGTGACTCTTAAGTCACATTTTAAGGTGGCAAATATTGATGAGAAATTTATACTAAATGCCCACACAATCCAAAATTAATTACCCGTAATTACCCATATGAAAGCTTTTTACAAAACCTACCTATTCGGCCGAAATATTTTACCACCTACCCATTTCCTTTTGTCTTTTGATTTGTTTTTTCAGTGCTAGCTTAATCTAGTGGAAAACATTCCCTTTACCATTTGAAGTGCAAAATCCTAGAGCTTTCTCTTTAAATAAACTATAAAATCTAGTTGACCCCTTTTTTTCATGTAATCTCATCACTTTTTTGACAAAATCTCATGCTTGCTCGGATTTTGCACTTCGTAGTTTTTGTTGAAATTAAAATTTTACAAATTTTCTTAAAGTCTTCTTCCAAAATTCCAAATATATGTTTTTCAACTTGAAGATTTTAATATTAGAT